TACCACGCCCAGCTAATTTTTGATTTATTGTAGAGAAGAGGTCTCGCCAAGTTGCCCAGGTGTGTCTCAAACCCGCAGGCTCGGCAATCCACTCACCTCAGCCTCCCAAAGGTGCGGGATTACAGGTTGAGCCACCGAGCCTGGCTTTCTAATAGCTCTTAATTTCTTGCCCATCCCCAAGAAAAACACTTCATGCTGTTGGTATTACAACTCACCTATAAAGAATCCAGTTACTCTAGATAATTATTTTATTTTGTAGTTTTATTCTTATTTCAAACATTCAAGAAGCAAAATTATACTTAAATTTGTATTCTCTGTTCAAATACTGACAAAAGATACAACTTACAGCTAAGGATAAAGCAGAGGAAGGTTAGATAAGCCTTGTTAGTCTTTCACACTAGATGAGATCTGCTTAATCTCTAATAAAACTGTATAGAAAAGGACACAGCTTTAAGAACTTTAGGATTGAGATCAAACAATTTTTCTTTTTTAGTTTCTATAAACTTCACTGTTATTTTAATTAAAAGTAACAGCAGTTAAGGCATCATTTCATAGCCAGAGAATACAACGTATGCCTTTTCTAGACAAAACAATCTCACTTCCAGAATTTATAAAAGCTCAGGCATAGAGACCTCCCCCTCTGATAAGCTAATCTGGTCAGTAGCCATTTGCACAGATCATAGTGAGGATGAAAAGAAAGGAGAAAAATTCTCTGGTGACAAGATAGAGAGGATGGAAGCTGTTTTTCAGGCTGTTCGGTGTTCTGCTTGAGAAAGGATGGAAAATTAATCAATATCAGAAAAATATTTGGATCCTGAATTAACAGAGTTAAGAAAAGCTAGTGGCTTTCTTTTTCAGCATGCTTAAAATACAACCTGAAATGAATCTCTGTGATGAAAGGTTTTTCCAAAAGAGAGGATTATCAATCCCATCGTTTCCCCGGAGCTAAGCAGGTATGTATGGCAAACAGCACTGGCAATAGCAGCAGCAGTAGCACACTTCACAGCCTCCCTTGGGGAGGAAGGCATAAGTGCCTAGCAACCAAAAGGAAGTAGTCAGCCTGAAATGTTACCACTTGTGCTTCTAAAAAAAAATCCAAAGGTTTTTAACCATTCTAGAAGAGGCTGCTGGGAACCTTTAAAGTCAGGGTTAACATGGGGAAAAAGGTGAATCTAGTTTACCCAGATGTATTTATTTCAATAAGACCACCTTCTCTATTACAAAATTTACTCTGCCTTCCTGGAACCAAGGGACTACTTTTCTGGAGGTTCTTTTGGGTAGATATGAAGCCAAGTTTGGTGTCAATTTACAGAACACCTTTATCCACCAACCAACATGATCTTATCTGCAGGCTGTGTTTTACTGGTTGAAAAATAAGGTACTGCCTTCTACATTTCAATAAACAGTAAAACACCTTTCTTACTGTTCCCTCTATCCAAGCTCTCAGCTCTCATTTTCTCTCTTATTTATTGAAATGTTAACAAACAATTCTTTTTGGTTGTAATCGTATTTTTTTGTTTCCATTTAAAGCTGTGCTTACCTACATCAAAGCAGGTACAGCTCTTGTTTATAACTTTTTAATTATTTGTTTATGCAATAGTTTGTGCCACCTGTTACCTTCCTACTGTATATAAGCACATTTTTGTAAAAATCCACTCAAATGTCCATCATGACTAAATCACTAGATCAAGTTACAGAATATAATTTGCCAACAAGTTTACATTTCAATGTGTGGGTAGATGTTCCATGAATCTTCCTCCCTTGTCACCTCTGGCACTTACAGATTACACAATGTCAGGAGGAAAAGGTGAATATCATTGTAGAAAACAACAAAAATGCCCACAGTTTTCTCAATGTTACTGGTTTAGAAACAAAGTAACATATTTGGTGGTTTTTTTAAGACAAGAGTTCAGTTACTGAGAACTTTTCTTAGGCTCAATAAATCAAGTTTTCTCAATGTTGACACTATTGACAATCTGGGCTAAATAATTCTTTGCCCCTGGCCTCTGTCCACTAGATGCCAGTAGCAATTCCCTCCCCGACCTCAGCCCCATAGAGGAAATCAAAGATGTCTTCAGATATTGACAAATATACCCTGAGGCACAAAATTACCCTAGATTGAGAACCACTGAGCTAAATGAACGAGTTAGGATTAAGAAATTTAATTAAGTGGATGTAGAACAGGTGGTTCTGGGGAAGTACAACCATCTTGATACTATGCAGCAGGTACAAACAAAACAACACATTTGTCTACATGAAAGCAGAATAGCATTGTGTCTCATTTAGATTTCCACTAATGTCAAATAGAGAGGCTGCATAGTAGTTTAAGAGTACAGAAATTATGGAATTACTCTGCAAAGGTATATAGGCCTACTTTGACGCCCACTACTGCAACCTTTTTAAAATCAATAAACATTATCTGTGCTTCAATTTCCTTATTGCCTACTTCATAGAATTATAAATGTTAAAAGTTTAACAGAACAGTACCTGGCACATTGTAAACACTATATTATTATTCCTGTCAATCATCATTTTCATCATCTTAACCATCATCATTTAACTCTTCAGGTTTACAACAAAATTAGTTCACTTTTCTTCTAATTTCCTACGGTGACAGAGAAATGGTACTGTACAGAGAGGAATAATAATAATGAGATTGTTCTAATGGGACAAAAAATTATTTTTCAAATATATCACAAATGGCACAAATAGCTATGTGCACATTGTTCAGCTCCCTGTATTTTTCGAATCAGCACATATAAATAAATCTAGTCTTTAAACTGCACGACAGCCGGGCTCGGTGGCTCAGCATGTAATCCCGCGCCTTGGGAGGCTGAGGTGAGTGGATTGCCTGAGCCTGCAGGTTCAAGACCTGCTTGGGCAACTTGGTGAGACGTCATCTCTACAATAAATCAAAAATTAGCCGGGTGTGGTAGCGTGCGCCTGTAGTTCCAGCTACTTGGAAGGCTGAGGAGGAAGGATCACTGGAGCCCAGCAGGTCGAGGCTGCGGTGGCCGAGAGCGGCCACTGCACTCCAGTCTGGGCAACAGAGTGAGACGCCAACTCAAAAAAAATAAAGTTATTAATCATACCAACTTCACAGTCACTATCACATTAGTTTTCACACAGAGTTTTTCAATTCAACAGAACAATTCAGACACTATACCATACCATACGTAGAACTGAAATGAACCATGGAATGGACAATAATTCGTGCCTATCTAAATGCTCTCTCAAGGTTAAAGGTTAAAAAAAGTCCCCAGACTTTTGAAATGCACTAAAAATATATTAATATCAATTAAATTATGAATGATATGCAGTCACTAGTTTAAAATAAAAAAGAATTAGATAAAAGTAACAAGAAGTTTTAATATTTGTTTTCTTCGCAGGCTTCTTCTAAGCCTTTTACCACTCCAGTCTAGCCCCAACCCCCGAACTAGGAGGCTGCTGACCCCCAACAGGTATCTACCCCCTAAACCCCCTAGAAGTACCCTTACATCTGTCTTACTAGCCTCAGGCGTTTCAATTATTCCCAGGCAGTTTCACATATTCCCTGAGGTATGCCACATGACCAGTCATGGTGACTCATACCTGTAATCCCAGCGCTTTGGGAAACCAAGGCTGGAGGATCACTTGAAGCCAGGAGTTCAAGACCAGCCTGGGCAACATAGTGGGGAAAAAAAACCCGCCTCTACTTAAAAAAAAAAAAAAAAATTAGTTGGGCATGGAGATGCGCCTATAATTCCAGCTAGTTAGGAGGCTGATGCAGAAGGACTGCTTAAACCTAGGAATTCGAGGATGCAGTGAGCTATTATCACATCACTGCACTCCAGCCTGGGCATCAGAGTGAAAAACCATATCTCTAAAAAAAAATGAAAAATAAGATTTAAAAAAATTCAATTATTCACTAAAAATCTACCACTAAAGAAATTATCAAGCTTAATGAATGACTTTACAGGCTAGTTGTATCCAAGCCTACAGGATCAGATAATTTCTATGTGATTCTCATTATTTCACAGCATTAAAAAAAAGAAACACTTCTCTTTTTTCAAAAGTAACATATAACCCAAATTTTAAATGTGAGAATAAAGAAAAAAGTTATTTAAAACTCTCACTTATGAACATAAACATAATAAGATCCTGAATAAAATATTAATTCAAAACCTGCAGTATAGCAAATATAGGTTTGTAATTACTACCTGTGTGACACTGGGCAAATTACTTCACCTTTCTCTTTTAGATTTTTCATCTGTAGACTGGAAAGCATAACAACACCTACGGCATGAGGTTGTTATAATCATTAGATAGGTAAGTAGGAAACCCTTAGAATAGTACATGGCACATGGTAAAGGCTCAACAAGTGAAAACTATTATTATCCCAAGAACAAAAAAAAGCAACATAATTCACTGTGGTATCATTTTAAAAGGGAAAATAAGACATATAAATATGAATACTTGATAATTTAATTTTTCAGCATTTTTTAATAATAAAACAGATATAAAGGGTGATCTCTTAAACATGATAAAGAATATTTATCACAAGTCAATAACAAATTATACTGTTAAGTATCAGTCACTTATTACATAAAATAATAAAACAAACATGTACAATATTAACATAACTGCATATTTTAGAGATTATATTAATGCAACAATGTAAGACAACAAATATTGGAGAAGAAAGAATTTGCAGATGATATACAGATAATCTGAGTAAACAAAGTTCTATTAGAATAAGAGAGTTTATTCATTAGGCCGCATTAAAGTCATACCAAAAATCAGGTTCTCTTTTTGGATTAGAAATAACAAATTAAAAATTTATAAGAGAAAAAGAGAACCTACTCACAGTAACAAAGATTATACATAATACCCAGGAATAAGCTTAATGAGATTGGTACAAGACTATATGACAAACTATATACAATTTCATTGAACATAAAATACATCCTAAATACTTTCTATTAACTCAGCAATCATCCAACCTTGAAACCTGGAATCCCATCTAGACTCATGCAACCTAGAAACTTGGAATCCCATCTAGACTTATCCCTCTCCTTGTTCATATCATCCACAGTCAGTCAACAAATCCTGCCTATTTTATCTTATATACATTTCTCAAATTCGTCACCTCTTTATCTCCAATTATCCTGGTTTTCCTTCAAAAGTCTCCAGCAAATTCGTGTTGCTAATTCTGTCTCATCCTCCTCAAAATCACAGCTCATCCAGCTGTCAGAGTAATCAATCTAAAACATAAACCTGACTAGATCAGGTGCCAATTTAACACAAGAAGATAACCACTGAATTCAGGATACAGTCCAAATTTAAGGCAATGAGGCCTTCAGTTATCTGGATCCAGCCTTATCTTCACTCTTTTCTCTTTCTGAGGCCTAAATGTATGAACCTGTGTTTCTCTAATTAGGATATGCAAGTAATCTGATTAAAGATGTCAAGGCTTCTCACAGTTAAAACGTGACACATCTTACTTAACTTACAACACCTTCAGTGAAGATTTTTTGAGAAAGACATTTGATGTTGAATACAGAAGAGAATGCAATATTTGTGACTTAAGTTAAAATGCAAAATTTCAAAGACAGTACTTACAGCCGTTTTGAGCCTTACCCTGGGGACTTAGAATGGGGCTGATGATAACACCCTTGTCATTATAGATGAGAAGCCTAATTCTACCAAACTCTCATTGCATTTGCCAGTGACTGTAACTAACATGGAGAATTTAATTATATCAGACAGCAGCTGACTCTTTTATTATGGACTAACCCATCTTATAACTGTCTTTAAGACCTTATATGACCTCATCTCTACCACTCTTGTCCTTGTTTTTCTACCCTAGCCACATGGCCTTGTGTTCGTGGCACACTTCAGGGCCTTTCCTTCTATCTAGAAACCTTTTCCCCTAGAGTATTGGATCTCTTTCTCAACTCCTTGAAGTATTTTCTCAAATGCTGATTTCTTAATGAGGTCTATCTTGATTTCTGTATTTTCATCATCCATTATCAACATTATTCTAGAGTAACAGCTGTTCTATATTTTCTTCATACAATTTCCTTACTTATTGTGTTTATTATTTATTGTTTCCTTATCAGAATGTAAGTTCCATGTCAACAGGATTTTTGTTTTATTCACTGAATCTCCCATGCCTAGAAAATTGCTTAGTACATTTTAGACTCTCAATGGATTACTTATTGAATGAACAATCTTAAAACACAGGCGCTACTCTTGGCCAGATTTTACCTTATTAAGAAGAAACTGAGCCGGGCTCAGTGGCTCAGCCTGTAATCCCGTGCCTTTGGGAGGCTGAGGTGAGTGGATTGCCTGAGCCCGCGGGTTCGAGACCCGCCTGGGCAGCGAGACCTCATCTCTACAATAAATCAAAAAATCAGCCGGGCGTGGTAGCGCATGCCTGTAATTCCGGCTACTTGGAAGGCTGAGGCGGAAAGATTGCTGGAGCCCAGCAGGCGAGGCTGCAGTGGCCGGGAGCAGCCACTGCAACTCCAGTCTGGGCGACCAAATGAGACTCCAACTCAAAAAAAAAAAAAAAAAAAAGAAGAAGAAACTGGGCCGGGTTCAGGGCCTCAGCCTGTAATTCCAGCACTTTGAAGGCCTAGGAGAATGGATTGCCTGAGCCTGCGGGTTGGAGACCAGTCCGGGCAACTTGGCGAGACCTGTCTCTACAATAAACCAAAAAATTAGCTGGGCGTGGTAGCCGCGCCTGTAGTTCCAGCTACTTGGAAGGCTGAGGCAGAAGAATCGCGGGAGCCCAGCAGGTGGGGGGAGGGAGGGTGGCCGTGAGTGTGCCACTGCACTCCAGCCTGGGCGACAGAGTGACTCCGACTCAAAAAAAAAAAAAAGGATTCTGAAACAGTGGGGAACTTGCCTAGGGTCACAGTCAAAGGAGGAGCTAGAATTTGTAAGCAACCTGGCTCCACTCATTCTTTACCATCACTACGGGGTGCCCCTCATTAATGGAGCTAATCTCAAAAGCATTACCCCTATTTAGGACGCTTTTCTTCCTTTTATTAGACAGTTCCTTGGCAGCAGGGGATACTTCCTTATCTTTGTTCCCTGACTGGCAATGCCTAATCCATGTTATACTCAATAATGGCTTAGGAAATGAATGAAACTATGAATGAACGCATTAGCTACCCAAAGACTTTTTACATGAGTGTCTCAATTGGTTAGTCATCTTAAGCTTTCAGATTTAATTTTAAATTAATGTTCAATATTAAAAAAAAAACCCCTGCCTTAAAAAAATTCAGTGATGCAAAAAATATGTTCTTTGATTTGACAAAACATGACTGCTGACGAACGGTGTGATTAAATGGACATGTACGCGATTCTCAAAATTTTCTACATCCTGGACTTTAAAGCTTTGTTTGACACATCGACATATATTAAGCAAAAATCCAGAACCAGTTACTGACTCACTTCATTATAGACACATGCATGTTATTAAGTTATCCCTGATTAAAAATCGCAAACGACAGTGCCATTTTCGTAGACATCGGGTATTAAACCGATCAATCAAGCCAGACAGAAACAGACACCTTCACTCACCAAAAACTGACGCTAACGAGGACACCCCCGCCACCACCACCACCACCGCCGCCGGAGCAATACCTGGCCCCGGAGTCACCGAGAGCCTGCCCGAGTAAGTCTGACAGTGTCGCAACGGCATGACCGACTTGCCACAGAATGCCAGTGGCCACAAGTTCGCCTGAGAAACCATCATTCCCGGGCAGAAGGGGCGGACGTGTGAGAGGCTTAAAAAGAGACCCCCTTCCAGACCGCCTCCAAATCTAGGGCCCCGACATTCTCCTCAGAGCTCCTCACCGTGTCTAGACTAGGGGGAAGCGACCAGGATGACGCACAAAGGGAAAGCCGGCCATCCAGCGTGAAGGCCGAGGAGGCACCCGAAAACCGGGCTCTCAGACGAACGAGGACCCCCACCGGGCGCCTAACCGCCCCTTTCACGGGTCGAGCCTGAAGAGCGTTTCTCACGAGATTTCTCGTCTTCACGGGCTCTCAAGATGAAACCTCGCGGCCTCTGAGATACGGGGGGGCTAAAGGGGCGGCTCCCACTCCCCTTCACCCACCCAAACAGCACCCCGACCCCCCGCCTACCCCGCCCCTCATCGAGGGCTTAGGAACTTCCGGACGAGGCCGGAACCGGAAGCTCCTGGGAGCCACAGGGGGTGGGGCCAAAAATCAAAAAAAGCGCGGCGAGAGCTGGAGGCCAGAGTGAGTTGCGGGGTGGTAGTGGTCCCCCGTCGGGGCTGCGGCCGGCCGTGATGGACTCCACCGCCTGCTTGAAGTCCTTGCTCCTGACCATCAGTCAGTACAAAGCCGTTAAGTCAGAGGCAAACGCCACTCAGCTTTTGCGGCACTTGGAGGTGAGAGGATCCGGAGTCGGGACAGGTGGGGCGTCTTCCTAGTGATTTCTGGTCCACGGCGAGGCCTGGGAATGGCGGTCCCAGCCAGGAAAGCGAGGACAGCCCTTCGCTCCCTCCGCTGTCTCTTTGTGCTGCTAAAGTCCAGTGAGTGATAGGGCTCAGCTAGCTGCAGCAACAGCATCAAGCGTCCACTAGAGGCTCTAGGGAGAGAGAGAATGGGACTAAAGGTTAGGAAATTTAGGCTATGTTTCGGGTGGGTAAAGGGAAAAGCTCAGGGCTGTATCTTCTCTTGCTTTGCATGTTTTGTTTTTTCCATCGAAACCAAGGCCTCTCATACAACTATTCTAGGGGATGGAGGTGATAGGGAGTCATGATTAAAACTTGGGTTTTTTTTGCCTTTGGGTAGTTCGTAATCGAACCTGTTGCTTACTGCTTGTGTTGAACTCGAACTTGAAAAGCATCATTTCAACTTTCTTTGATTAAGAGGTAATCCCCCTTACTAGTAACTACGCATTCCCTTTTCTTTACCGGAATACATTGCTCACAGTTTTTAAGTCCTAAAATGCTGGGTTGCTTTTAGCTTTTCTGTTAGTTCCAGTGATGTGTGTCTAGACCATTCTGTTTGTTTTAGGCTCTTAATCTCCTGCTGTCATTTGTTATGCATTCGTGGAATTCAAACTAACAGTGACTTCAGTCTAATAGAAAAAATTAAGCTTAGCCAAGCTCTTTGGCAGCTTTTCTCTGATAATTCAAACAAAATTGAACATAATTTTAAAGTATATTCTATTTGTTATACTCACCCTATGACAAAAGTCTGACATACCAAAGATTAGCAAACTACTGCAGAGAAAATATTCTAATGGTACAGCAACATCAGCCTTTAGAGAAATTGAAACGTATTAAATGTGTCTTTGTTCTCTTAAGCTTCCTTGTTGCTTCTCTTCTCACCTCTTCAGGTACCCATCCCTAAGATCATTTGTTACCTTTTTTCATTCATTACTTCAAAAAGTCCCTGCAAATCTAGTAATTAAGGTGTTAGCTGTAAATGCTTAAGGCTTTGCTTCTCAATTAGGATAGAACACTACTGTGCGCTATAGCGGACTCTAGAAGCCACAAGTTAAGCAGGGCCTTTGGTTTTATTTAAGAGGTTAAGCATTTTATATGCTAATAAGAAACATTACCTGTCTTTGAGAATAAACTGGTAGGTTGTAAATCCCAGTGCCTATGTTATTGTGAATGGAAGGAGACTTCAAAGCAATTTGAGGCTTAGAGTCTGATTCCTTGATGATGTATTTCTAAACTTTCAAGGGATTTACAGAGACTGCTAATACTGTTAATGCAAAGGTATGAAGAGCACTGGTTTGAGGTTACTACTAACGACTTTTTGTAGGTAAGAGATAACATACATAACAGTGCATTAATCTTAAGTGAAGAGCTTAATAGTTTTTAACATACTGGGTACACGCAAATAGCTACTGCCTGGAATATAGGATACTATAAGAGGTAGTCCTAACCTAGATATTATAAGTAGCTTGGGGAAATCTTGAATTTAAACTGAGATCCAAATGATTACTTTAAGCTGGGCTCGGTGGCTCAACCTGTAATCCCGCGCTTTGGAAGGCTGAGGTGAGTGGATTGCCTGAGCCCACGGGTTTGAGGTTTGAGACCCGCCTGGGCAACTTGGCGAGACCTCATCTCTACAATAAATCGAAAAATTAGTCGGGCGTGGTAGCGCGCACCTGTAGTTCCAGCTACTTGGAAGGCTGAGACAGAAGGATCACCGGAGCCCAGCAGGTCGAGGCTGCGGTGGCCGGGAGCGTGCCACTTTACCCCAGTATGGGCGACAGAGTGAGACTCCAACTCAAAAAACAACAACAACAACAAATGATTACTTTAGCTAATGAGGAAGGGGTTAGGTAATCTTCTAGGCAGAGGTAACAGCATGTGTACATTTTCTAAATTGAGAAAGTAGCAGCGGCACTTGGGAAGAATTAAGTTTTTATTTGAAATGGGAAGGAGAGAAAAATTGCAAACTCTTAACTTACACCATTTGATTACTATTTTATAGGTAATTTCTGGACAGAAACTCACACGACTGTTTACATCAAATCAGATATTACCAAGTGAATGCTTGAGTTGCCTTGTAGAGCTACTTGAAGACCCAAACATAAATCCTTCACTGATCTTAAGTATTATCAGTTTGCTATCTCAACTAGGTAATGGATTTAGTTTCTCTTTTTCAGTTTTTGGGAAATGTATGAATTTTATATTTTTGAAAGTGCAGATTTAGTTGCATTTTAAAACTAAAGTGCAATTAACATGGAGAATGATTCACATTCAAAAAATTTCTATGTTGCAGGACCTCTCAGAGTTGATATGTAATGTGTATCTCTTGACAGAAGGAAGTATTATTTGTAGCATTTAAGATTATTGGACCAAGGAATCTGAAGCATATCAAAGGTTTAGTCTTCTACAGATAAGAATACACAACCAAAAAAATCTCACATACACATAATGCCAGTATTAAACATACCACTCAGAAAGTCATCACTACGAATTAGAGTCATCCTTCTGTGATAGAACAGTTGGACTTAGAGGGTAAAAGTACTGATACTACTTTTTCTAATTTTTTTTCCCTAATCTTTTGTATTAAAGTGTTTACTTAATGGTCATTTTTTTTCCTCTGATTTGGGGCAGGGGCAGGATATTTCTGTGTGTTATTATAAAAATAACATATGCTTAGTATAAAAAATCCTAGTGATCTAAAAGTATTAACACAGAGCAGCATTGTCGAATAGAACTTTCTTCAGTGATAGAAATGTTCTAAATCTGTGTTGTACTGTATGGCAGCTCCTAGCTGCATGGGGCTATTAAACACTTGAAATGTGAATAGTGGACTTGAGGCACTGAATCTTTAGTTTTAATTAATCTGAATTTAAATAGCCACATGTATCCTAGTGGCTACCAAATTAGACAGTACAATGGGATGAGTCTTACTTATTACCACCATCCCTATCATACATCTTTGGGAATAAAATCTCATTTAATTGTTTGCTATGTGTCTTTCTGGATCTTTCTGTGCCTTAACAAATAATTTTGAATCGTTAGTTGGTTGTTTTTAATACAAATGATATTGTGGAGAACTAGATTTTTTTTTTCCATATCAGTATCTTTTTACTAGTTGTCTAATAAAAAGATAGTATGTACCAAAGTTATTCAGCCATTCTCCTAATGGTGGGTACTGTGTTCTTTTTTAAGTTTTGCTATCATTAGTGCAATAAGTACTTTATATAATTTTGGTCAAATATGTGTGTTTCTATTAGACAAATTTCTAGTAGAATTTCTAGATCATTTAAAAATTTGATAACCATTATTAAATTGCTTCCAAAAAAGACTGCCACTTCTAACATCCACCAACAGTTTGAATAAGAATGTATCACTTCCAACATTTAAATATTTTGAGAATTCTATGTATTAAAAACACTTAAGTCCTCACTTCTATCTATTTTGAAGTATACACTACATTGTTGTTAACCATAGTTACCTTACTGTACTATGAAACATTAGAACTTATTCCTTCTGACTGTATATATCCATTAACCAACCTCTCTTCTCCCCCTACAACCCCTTCACACCCATATCCATCCCAGCCTTAGATAACTGTTTTACTCTGTCTCCATGAGATCAACATTTTTATCTCCCACATATAAATGAGTAATACAATATTTTTCTGTGTCTGGCTTATTTCACTTAACATAGTGACCTCCATCTCCTTTCGTGTTGCTAGAAATGACATGGTTTTACTCTCTTTTATGACCAAATAGTACTATTCGATTGTATAAATACACCATGAAGTGATCATCTTTTAATAGCACAATTTCTGCAAATACATAAAGCAAGGTTTCTCTTTTATATTAATTTATTCCACATAGAGAATCCTTTGAACTGCTGAATTGGAGGTATTGGTAAATAAAATAGCCATATCATGCTTGGTTTTTATGGTAAATTTATATGCAATAAATTTAAAATTACTTTCATTTCATTCTTTAAATCGATGTTTTGTGCTATTTTGTTTTAATTTAACAGCTATAGACAATGAAACCAGAGACTGTCTTCAGAATACATACAATCTAAATAGTGTGCTGGCAGGAGTGGTTTGTCGGAGCAGCACCAGCCACGATGATTCGGTGCTTTTGCAGGTATTCACACCCACATAGTATGCTGTCATTTAAAACGTATTCCCTTTTCTTTATTGTCAGATCAAAATTGATAGTATTATAAACTGCTGACTTTTAGTATTATGTGCTGATATAATACTACATGATTAGGCACAGTTCTTGTCATAAGAGCTGGTTGTACACACATGTACTACTATTTAAATGTTTCTAGAGAAGGGAAATGTATCTACATTTAGCACCATTATTGAAGAAAAACAAATCTACATTATAACTGCTTGACTTACAAACCACAGATGTCTGTATTTTGGGATGTGAGCTATTCGTATTAAAATTGTCATTTGAGTTGGCATGTGGTCTCAATCTGTTGGGAAAACATTCTACAAAAATTAAAGCTATAGATATGAGATTCCATGTAGATTCAAAATTCTTACACTTATCATATTTCACTGATTCTAAAATATCATCAGTTGTAAGAAAGAAAAACATCACCAATTAAACTGACATGCAATTTTAGAGTAAGTAAAATATGAAAAAATATATCTTGGAGTTGATGAAATGTATGTGTTTCAACCTGCATTCACATTTAAGATGATTATGTGAAAGGGTTGATGGCAATGGTCTGTTTGAGACAAAATGTATAGAAATGTGTGAATCAGGAGATGAATTCTAAGGTTCTTCCTTCACTTTGTATTGTTTTAAATAAAACTGTTTTAAGAAATGGAAAACTTTTTGCCCTAAGTTATGTCTCCTAAAATGATGACATGTTCAGAATATCACAATAGTACATTCTTGTGAGCAGGCAATGTTTTAATGTTTATATTTATAACCATTTTCTTATTCTCAGGGCATTCAACTTCTGCAGAGGTTAACATATAATGTCAAAAATTTCCATCCTGCTGCCAACATAGATGAATTAATTATATTCCTCATAGATCATATGTGAGTATGCAATCAAGCATGTAACCAAGTAGTCTATTGGTTTATTTTTAAACTAAAACCACGTGTAGATTGATTTCTTTTTTTTTTTTCTTAGATAACTTTTTTCTAACTTCTTAAACTGAGGGAAACTCTGCTTCTTGTTTGTTCTTCCTAAATGATTTTAAGAATCAAAAGTTGTAAAACAGCTTTCATTTTGATAACAAAAATTTATGAAATGATTTTAGCATAAAAAATTGTTGAAATTGAAAATTGTATGTTTATATTTAATCTTAATAGAATATACTGATGAAATAATACATAGTCACTCCTGAAAGTTATCTCCATTAATTCATGATGTAATTCAATAGGTTAATTTGGTTTCAAAACATGAAATAAATTGTGAGTACTATGGAGGGCTTGTCTAGCCTCGCATGATAATTAGGGTTTTTTTGCATGGAAAAAGAAATTGAAATGTGTAAATTACTATGTCATTTTGACTAATTTACAATCAACTTAATGCGCTGTCTTTTATTATTTTTCTTTAAACAAAACATCAATGTAAAACAACAGTCAATCTTCTGAAGATGAGTTAAAAATGCCTTGCCTAGGATTATTGGCAAATCTTTGTCGGCACAATCTTTCAGTTCAGACACACATAAAGACATTGGTAAGAAAAGTTTTTGTTTTTCCTTTAATGTTCCTTGTTTTGTGATAAGCTCTCTGTTTAAAAAAAAAAAGTTGATTCATCTTTTTAAAAAAATTAACAAGGATTCTTAATGAGGTATCTGCTGACTCAAAGCTAATGAAGAGTCAGATTGACATGTAAATTCAACCTTCATTTATTTTGTAGTGTATTAAAGACTGTATATTAAGAGTTAATGCAGATGCTGATTTCTAAAAGTTTCCCCTCAGCATAGCATTCCATTATCTGACATACTGAATAATACAAGAATTGCTAAATTATCCTGTACTGATAGAAAGGAGACACATCACTAGCTGTCCCATTTACTTCAGTCTTGTGTTTCCACAAAGTCAATGGCAGCTCCACTAGAAAGATCCACGAGTAAGTGCTTCATGTCAACTACCAGTACTTATGATAAGTGAAGGCACACAAATGAAATTAATAAAAAAAATTTTAGAAGTATATTAAATCAAGAAGGTTACTGGATTCCTTAAGTTATATTGTAAACAATTTCCCTGCTATGCAGTTTTCAGAAATAACTTGGTTGATTTTAAGCTAAATATTTCATTTTTTTAAGTGCTGGATTTTTCTGACTTCGTACTATAGAAGTGGAAGTAATTTCAAGCCATGAAAGTTTTAGATTCAGGGAGTACATATGCATATTCATTACATAGGCATATTGTGTAGTGGTAGGGATTGGGTCTCAGGTGGAGCCATGGAAGTTTGTGAAAAGTTTTTAGCAAGGAAAGAGGGAACATATGAATACACACACACACACACACATACACACACACACACACAAACTCCACACATATTTTCAATTTCCGAATTGAAAAAAAAATGCTCATATTTAGAAAGCACTTAAATATGAAAAAGAAACACTTGCTTATAATTTTATATGTAGAGCTGTTCTTTACTAAGGTTGTGTATGCCTATATTACCATCAGCAATACTTGAAAGTATGTATCTCACTTACCCCTGGAATGATCTTTTAAGTCTAAATGGTAATCAGCAAATGTGATGAAGATAATTGCTGCCCCAAAATGTGTGATATAAAATGAATTGTCAAATTTGCTGAATATTTTTTTGCTTTCACTATAATTATGGGAGTTCCTTATTATAATTCTTTCATTAACTTAAAATAAATGTAAACAACTTTTCCTGTGGTATTTTAGGTAGCTCTTCTGTTTCCGTTATTCATGCATCCCTTTTGAACTATTAGAATTGACACCCTGGGATTCTGTCAATGAATTATTTATAACTTGGCAAAAATTTATCTCCCACAAATCTGTGTGTGCACATTTACAAAATTATTTTTCTCTAGATGTTTCTTGTTTATAACAGTTTTGAATTTAAATTTATCTCTAATCAAAATTTATCTTAAAGAACATTTATCTTTTAAAAGTGACAATCATTTCATAATAGAGTTGGTAATGATATTTCTGTGTAGGATATACTTTTTAAAGCAATATATAAAATTCATAATTCTTTATTCTAATTTATCTTTTACTTTTTTTCTTCCTCAGAGTAACGTGAAATCTTTTTATCGAACTCTTATAACTTTGTTGGCCCATAGTAGTTTAACTGTGGTTGTGTTTGCACTTTCAATATTATCTAGTTTGACATTAAATGAAGAGGTGGGGGAAAAGGTAAATATGATTTTTCTGAAGTTAATTCTGAAGTTTGTAGCCTCTGATATTTTAAAAGTCATTGAAGCTTCTTTTTACATTTTGAGATGATGTCACCTTAAATTTTTTGTACAATATACGTTTCCTAATTTGTTTTTAAGCTATTCCATGCTCGAAACATTCATCAGACTTTTCAACTGATATTTAATATCCTCATAAATGGTGATGGTACTCTAACTCGAAAGTATTCAGTTGACCTACTGATGGATCTCCTGAAGAATCCTAAAATTGCTGATTATCTTACCAGGTATGATTCACTTTAGTAAATTTTAGAACTTTTTTTTTAAAAGCCAAGATATATTTGTGTTAAATAAAGCTGCCTTCTTAAATATAGTAAATGTGAAATCTCCTGGTTCACAGTACACTAAATAGAAATGTTTTGATATGCTTTACTCCCTTTTTTTTTTTTCTTTCCTGAACAGAAATATAAAGTATAACAAAGGGGTATGTGTTTCAGTCTTTGTCTTAGATCAATAGGGGTGTGTCATTCTCCAAAATATAGACGTCTTGACTAATCTTGTTTTAAAACTTGAACATTACGATTCTCTGAAAGAAATTTTTTGTAGGAACATTCATGTCAATATGTCTTTTTTTTTTGTATAAAATTGATAATGTTTCCTTTGGTGCATGCTTTTTAAATGATCACATGAAATACAATGAGATATGGACATATAAACATGTAAAATGGGAACACATGTTTATATGTCCATATCTCATTGTATTTCATGTGATCATTTATATTTTGAGATCTGGCAGTAACTATTTTCCAAAGAGCTTTTAACTTCTTTGCATTCTAAATTAAGTTTTCCCAGTTCCTAAACTGCTTTTTGGCCCTAAATTAGGAAACTGTTGAAATTGCCTCAAAGTTAAGTTAATTCATCAATCACAAATAGAAAAACATATATTGAGCCCCTACTACTTATCAGCTGCAGGATATGAAGACACAGTCACTGATCTTTAAGAAACTTGGAGTTTAGAAGTTTAAAAACAAATCAGTAGGGCAAAACTGATCACTAGTTAGATAGGTAACTGATATTTTGCAAAACCAAGAAGCACTCATATTAGCATTTCACTTTTTCTTCTCTTAAACATCTCTAGATCGATGAACTTTTTCTTCCAGAGTGCTCTCTCTTGACCTCTTGACCTTCATCTGTTGTAAGATTATCCCAATATCTATGTATATTTCCTCTGGCCACCAGATAGTGTTTATTCAGCAGCTTCATAGTAAACAAAAATTCTTTTGGATATGCCTCTTCCAGAAGACAGAAAGATAATCTGGTTTATTAGAGGTTGCTTAGTCACTTCTTGTGTAAATCTCTCAGCTGCATTATCTGTTTTCTTCTCTACCCAGCCTAGAATCTCAGAATCACCTCTGGGAAGGCCTCCTGTTTATCTGGTGTACCATTCAGCAAAAACCCAATCCTGAATATATTCCAAAATCTAACTTGAAGCCTGAGTTACTAATAAAAGCTTGAGAATAACACACAACTTTATCTTTGTTTCACAGAAAAAAACAAAATGGAATCCTACTTGATTGGTGTGCCCTAAACTTTATGACCCTGGATTAACTGACCATTGTTTATACCAAATTCTTATTTAGTATAATTTCATCCTGTTTTCACTAATAAACATGTCCTATTATCCTGTGCATTAAGTTTCATTTTGTCCTGTCTTTTCTCCTTAATACCTCCCATTCAATTAACTCTTCCCCTTTAACTTGTCAAAATGCTCAACTTTCAGCTTTTTCTTCAACCATATGTCCCTTTTAAAATCTGTGACCTCTCATTGCATTCAAGGTTAATATCTAAATTCTCAACAGAGCCCTCTAAAATCTGATCCGTGACATCATCAATCTTATTTCTTTGCATTTTCTTGTATTTTTTTTTATCTAATCATTTCAGACAATAAATAGAACCTCCAGCTTACTAGAAACATTCTTTCTTATTCATGTGCTATTTCCTCCAGAGTATCTTCTCTAGAAAGTTGGAATACTTTCTCCTTTATATATCTAACTTTTATTTATTTTTTATAAGACTTTGGGAAGCCTTACCTAATCAGGCCAAGTTGAGTTTGGTACCCATTCTCTGTTCCATAGTGTCCCATATATTCCCCCATGATAGTACTGTATTTTATACACCCTTGTATTATCACTTTCTATCTTTCTGCCTCCTTCTTTAGACTGAGCTCCTTGGCAGGGCACCATTCTCCCAAATCCAGGATGCACCAGTCACATAGACTATAACATGAATGGTACTTTTTGATAACCTTTTGGAGTTGTATGACATGGGTTGCTGCCCCTTCTGTATCTGTGGAGCCTAATTTAATACCTGTCAATTTTAGATACCCTATATAAATAAACAGCTGTATAATTTGTTAGCATATTTCTGTGTCCTTTGAATTTTTACAAACTGAACATAATTTTTAATGTAAAAAATAAGGCAATTGAGGCAATTAAAATTTCAGTGATTAATTTATTGCCACAAGTTACTAAGTTTTAACAAATAACAGTGCCTACTTTTGTATATCATAGTGGTGAGATACATTTCAAGTTTTATGTGTAATCTTTACAAGGAGTGTGCTCTATATAAGCAGCCCAAATTAATAAATGAATGAAAGAAAATATACTTAAATTGGATATTGTCTTGTAAATAAGTTGATTTTGATTTGTCAGTTTTATAATTATTTTTGGTATATATTTCTATTTTAAACCTAGATATGAGCACTTTTCTTCATGTCTTAATCAAGTATTAGGTCTTCTTAATGGGAAGGATCCTGATTCTTCTTCAAAGGTATGTAAAAACATGACTTCATGGTTTTAATTTTTTAAAACTGTACTATGAAGAAAAATCTAAATGCACAGCTCTCTGTATTTTTACAAACTGAACACAGACAGGTAACCAATGTCAAGTCAGAAATTAGATTTTAATGGTGCTCTGGAACCCTTGTCTTCCTTTTGGTGAGTACTTTCTGCTTCCTGTCCTCTGCCTTTACCAAGGATAACCACTATACTGATTCCTACCAGCATATAATGTTTTGGGTTTTTTTTTTCTATTTTTGAACATCATATAAGTAAACTCATATTAAATAAGTACTTTTTCATGTCTAGATTATTTTGTTCAGCGTGATGTTGTGAGATTCACTCATATTTAATATTGTTGTAGATTGTTAGATTTGTTGGGGTTGTTTTTTTTTTTTTGGTTAGCAAGTGGAATTTATTGGTGGGGCTGAGTAAGGGGGCAGCACAGTAGAAGCCCTTATCACGGTGCAGCCCACTACTTGTCCAGGGAGCCATAGTTGGTCATATATTTGACCCCACAGCCATCTAGGATGAGCCACTTCTCAGCCACCATGTCTTCAAATTTGTAAGCTTTGTAAATCCCTTCTTCTTTGAGATGTGAATCTTCTGGTGACCAGGGTACTTGAACTTGGCCCTGTAAAGGACCTCAATCACATGCTTCTTGTTCTGCAAATTGGTGTGAATGGAAATGATGACTTGACCAGTGTGAACCCTGGTCACCATGCCCTGGGGCTTTTTTGTAACACCTCATATACCTGTGTGGGGCCTAGACTGGGGACTATACGAGGTCAGAGACAAGATATATACTGGAAAGGTCTGCCTCTAAAGTCCCTTAGTGCAACCCATACAAGCAGTAGACTGCATACACCACCAAGAAGACTGCTATTAGCAGTTATTGCACACCAGGCCCCCACAAGGAAAGGAGCACAGTGGGTATTTGTTTTTTTGTTGATGGATATTAGCAATTATGAAGAATCAGGTGTTTGTCCTCTTCTGCATGTCTTTTGGTGAGCTTATGGATGTGCTTGTCTTAGCTGTATACCTAGGAGTAGAATCACTACATCATAGAGTATGCATACATTCAGTAAGTACAGCGAAAGTTTTCCAGAGTGTTTGGTCATGAAGATTTGGTCACTCTGCATTCTTGCCAGCACTTGATATTTTCCTGTTTATCCATTTTAGGTATTTTAATGGCTGTTTAGTAGTATTGCATTATAGTTTAAATTTGTGTTTCCTTAATGATCAGGAAGGTATACTGTCTTTTTACGTATTTATTGGCCATTTGTATATCCTTTTTGGTAAAGTACCTGTTCATGTCTCTTATTTGTTCAATGTGTTATCTTTCTCTTATTTATACGTAGGAGTTATTTTGGAGTCTTGATGGGTATATAATATACAAATATCTTCTTCCATTCTGTGAGGTGGCTTTTTACTTCCCTAATAATGTCTTAATTTTAATGTGACTTAGTTTATAAATCATCCTGTATGTTTAGTGCTTTTTGTATCCCATTTAGGAAATCTTGGCCTATTCCAAGATCATAAGGGTGGTCTCCAATGTTTTCCTATAAAAGCTTTATGGTTTTTTAACTTTCACCTAGATCTGTAATCTATTTGGAATTCAATTTTGTGTCTGATGTGAAGTAGGATTATTCAGGCCAGACTTTATCTTACAAGTTTTTACAGAAGAAGGAAAGATTTCAATTTCAATTGACTTTGAACTAATCTGCAACAACGAATCTACAAGATGGCAGAGGGGTTGAAATAGTACAGTTTGTTACTCAGCAGTGTTTTCATCTAGCAAAATATCTTCACAACCTTGGGATAGACAAAGATTTTCTTAAATGGGAAACAAAACATTAACCATACAAGAAAAAAGTTGATAATTTGGGCTACATTGAAATTAATGTTCCTGTTCATGAAAAGACCACTAATAAGAGAATGAAAAGACAAGTCATAATCCCTTTCTTATAGTATTATAATAATTGCTCAAGGTCCGCTTATGAGTGAGTACATATGGTAGATCACTAGTATGATAGACTCTAAATCCATCCAAGCTGCTGCAAAGTTCATATGTTTGACCTTCTTTATGGTTGCATAATATTCCATTGTGCCTGTGTACCAATTTTTTTTATCTAGTCCAGCTCTGATGGGCAGCATGAATCAGCATTTTTAATGGCATATTATTGAGTGCCTTCCCCCAGATTAGGAATAAGAAAAGAATGTCCATTATTACCAGTTGTATCCAGGATAGTATTAGTGGTCCCAACCAGTCCAGTAAAACAAGAGCAATGAATTAAAGGTATAGAGATTGGGAAGGAAGAAATAAAACTCACTATTTAGATGACATGATTGTGAAAATAGAAAATCTAAAATAAATCTACATAAAAAATTATTAAAATTAAGTGAATGTATTTAGCAAGTTGGCTAGATGCAAGATGAGTACATATAAAATATATTTCACTTATATTCTGGTGATAAAATGAAAATTTTTATATGATACCATTTGCTGATTTCTTTTTAAAATGTCAGATGCTAGATGTCTAAAGACAGTGCTATACTGGCATATAGATAGACAGCTAGTCCAGTGGAACAGAATAGAGTCCAAAACCAATTGCACATTATATGGTCTCCTGATTGATAGCAGTGGAGTCTTTAAAGTATGGTCATCTCAATAAATGATGCTGGGTCGATTGAATATGTATATGAGAAAAAAACTGAATTTTGACCCCTACCTCACACCAAATGCAAAAATCAGTACAAGACTGGTTGTAAATCTAAATATGAAAAGTAAAAACAATGAAGATTTTGCGAGAAAAATCTAGCAAAATATCTTCACAGCCTTGGGATAGACAAAGATTTTCTTAAATAGGAAACAAAGCATTAACCATACAAGAAAAAAGTTGATAATTTGGGCTACATTAAAATTAAGGGTTCCTATTCATGAAAAGACCACTAATAAAGAGAATGAAAAGACAAGTCACAGAGTGAGAATGGATATCTTCAATGCATATCTATATCTAACAAAGGACTCTTATTCAAAATAATTTTTTTAAGTTGTATGTATATATCAAAAAAAAAAATCTACTGAACCCAATAAACACCTGAGAGGAAAAAAATAGCATGAATTAGTTGTTCAATTTTATTAATCTTCAGGGAAATACAAATGTAAATGATAATATGACACCACTACACACCCACCAGTTGATTAAAATGGAAAATACCAAACATACCGTAACTCTCATATAGTGTTCATTTATAACCAGTTAGAAAAACTGATATTTACTAATGCTGGGCATAAGCATAAAGTATGACCTAGCAATTCCACTTTTAGGTATTTACTCTAAAGTATTAGATACTCATATATAACAATATAAGGCCCAATTTATTAAGTAGAGAAGAAATGGAATACTGTAGGATCATAGTGCCTACAGTGTGCAAAATGTGGGAATAGCCATCCTTAAGGTGTTAAATCTTTGGAAGGCCAGTTTTATAGTTCAGTCTGCAGTATACTCTGTAACAATTCTTGAATTTTAGGATTACAGCAAGTATTGTTAATTCTAATTTTACTTTGTAATGGGTCTTTTTGTCATTTTAAAGACAAAACATGTTTGTGTTTTTAAAAACTTAAGTACTGTGGGAGGGGTATAACATTAGTTGAAATTGCTCTTCCATCTCTGGTTTTCACTGTCTTGCGTATCACAGGTAAGTACCATTAACAAATTTCTTGGTAACCTTCTGGATCCCAATCACACCTTTGGAAAATAATATTGAAAGAAAAATTGGAAGTTCCTTTTAAGTTTTGTTTTGTAATATTTTCTTCAACAATATATGACATTTTCAGCTTCATCGTATGCTTGCTTTGTGTATTAAAGGCTAATGAAATTGACATTTAATGAAGACTTTATATCACACAGGTTTTAGAATTACTTCTTGCCTTCTGTTCAGTGACTCAGCTGCGCCATGTGTTCACTCAGATGATGTTTGAACAGTCTCCATCTGGCAACGCCATTCTGGGAAGCCATCCTAAACGTTTAGAACCTAGTGTGGCTCTACTTCGTTGGTTAAGCCAACCTTTGGACGGATCGGAAAACTGTTCTGTGTTTGCACTGGAATTGTTCAAGGAGATATTCGAGGTAATAGGATGATTTACAGATTGACTTTCCACATTTCGTGACTCTCAAGCAATAGTTTTGCTTTCAGAAACATTAATAGTAAACTTTCAATTGTTCATATGCTTGAGGAAAACTTCTCACTTACTGATAGTCACACTAGACTATCATTCAGCCATTGAATTTTTTTTCTGCCAGTCATATATATTAGTGTTTTTCTTTTTTTTCTCTGAATAGCTTATATATACAGTACTTGTTACAGTATAATAAGTAAAGATATTAACAGGATTTGTGTGGTTTGTTGCATGACTGTAATTGGAAGAGTCACATTGCCTCTCCATCTCAGTAAATGCTGTCTACCAACTTCATTAGACTGTTGAATGAATTAATAAAGAAATATTGGTTTCAGTCAATGAAATGGAGTAGAGTGTGCCAGACAATGTGCTCTACATTCTGGTAGATTTTACTACCTAGGCAATTAAGCACTCTACCCATCTCCCTGTTTTTATACCTGTTCTGTCTACTCCAGTATCTTCCTAAAGAATTTCCTCTCTTATAACTGGATCCTATGCACAAATAAATATGTGCATGAGTGGTTAAATATATTAATTAAGGATGCACAAGTCTTTCTATTTTATCTTTGTTTTGACTTTTTAATAATCAGTTTTAACATGTAAAACATCCTTTGAGATTATTGATGGAAATGATTTGTGGTTATAAACTATTAAGACCAATGCCTGTTATTTAATTATTATAATTACATTTAGCAAATTCAGAATATTTGTTTTCAGTACATTTATTTTAAGATAATTTTTAAATCACATAGTTATTAAAAATGTTTTGTTAAACTTTACTGTTTAATTTGAGGGAAAAAAAAGTCATCATAGCCCTCAAAACTGGATAAAAGAATAAATTTTAACTAGGGAACTCGGGTCAATGATATATTGAAGTAAATATAAAAAATGTGATGAGAGTGTTACAGCTCAATCCTGTTTCTGCATTCTGTAATCCGTCTTTGTGTTTAATCATTGGTGATGATTAATTCTCCAGGATATCATAGATACTGCTAACTGTTCCTCAGCTGACCGTTTTGTGACCCTTCTACTGCCTGCAATCCTTGATCAGCTTCAGTTCACAGAACAAAATCTAGATGAGACTTTAAAAAGAAAAAAATGCGAAAGAATGATCAAGGCTATTGAAGTTTTATTAAATATCCTTTGCTGTCATAAACATGAAAATTATATAAATAAGTATTCTTTTTCTTTCGTATTACATTTACTGCATTTTGTCATTTGTAATTTTGTAACTTATGCTCAAACCTATTCAGAATTATTGAACTAAAATTTAAAGCTATAGAAAAAAGTCTCAAGGAAGAGTCTAAAAAACTTACCAGGGTTTTTTTTTTTTCTTTGTTTCTCTGTGTAAAACTTTTAAGCTAAAATACATTTTAAGAAATGCTTTTTAAACTTGATTTGAACATTTTTATCACAATTGTGACTTGGAGGCATATTCTAAAATAACTATTCTGTTACTCATTATTCTCTTAGCTTTTGATGCTAATTATTGCCTTGGATGATTAGCATTCATTGGTGGTGTGCATTAGCAGACAAAAATATTGATAGAGTTGTTATTATTTTAGCCCAGTTTTTTTAGATTGTATTCTAAAATTGGAAGCCTTCATAATTGTTTCAATAATGATTATATCATACTTGGTTATTTAAAAAGACATAGCAACACAAATTAATTCATTAAAAAGAAAAAAACCTTGAACAGTTGGTTTTACTGCTTAACTTCTGTACATTGATTTTCTAAGGTCTTTTCCTATGTTTGCTTTTTCTAATCAATTAATTCTGAGTTGCTAAGAAGTCCAGGTTCCCAATTTAAAAATATTCCATTAATACTTTCTTACTATGAGCCAGGAACCACTGTATCTCAACCTGATCTTTTAAATGTATGTCAGATTTCCTTGTGTCTTGGAACATCAAGAATATGCCCTAGTTTTTGAATTCGAGTCGCACTCTGTTGCCCTGGCTTGCAGTGGTACGATCATGGCACACTGCAGCCTCGACCCCTGGATTCAGGTGATCCTTCCACCTCAGCCTCCCAAGAAGCTGGGACTACAGGTACATGCCACCATGCCCAACTGATTTATTTTATCTTAATTTTTAGGTGAGGTCTCAATATGTTACTCATACTGGTCTTGAACTCCTGGGCTCAAGAAATTCTCTCACCTCAGCCTCTCAAAGCAATTCTCCCACACCCAGCCTAAAGACACCCCAATTTGTCCTGTTCTAGGGCAAACTCCACCTCTATTTAATCTCCTCTCTAAGATGTTGCTCCTTTATATTCCTCTTCCTGTACAGCAGTGACTCTTAACCCTAGCTTTGTATTAGAATCATCTGGGAAACCTGTAAACAGTATTGATGCTGGAAACTTTCTTCTAAAGAGTCTAATTTAATTGGAATAATATGAAACCTTGAAATCAATGAATGGTATATGTTTGTGTGTTGGTTTTTTGTTTGTAATTTTTTTTAAACTACCCAGATGATTCTAACATGCAGCCAAAGTTGAGAACCACTGAAGTAGATACACGTGATTACTTTGCTTGACTTTAGAGATATTTATAAATAACTCTTTACACTCGAATGTCCCTTCTGAGGGATATCATAAATCCAGCAAACCACTTAGATGTCTCTTCTCAGGGAACATAAAGAGATTGCTGGTGATTCTTGAAGATTTCCATTCAAATTGCCTGAAAAAAACAAATAAATATATATTGAGATACACATTTTTAAAAAAATCAGCTGGCATTTGTAGAAAGAGAATGTATAAAGTGCTTTCACAGTGGTGCTGACACTTCTTTTTAACAGAAGGTAGTGATAAAGAGCATTTATATAAGGCAGCTGTGAGTATACCCTTTGTATCATATGGCATAACTTGAAAAGATTGGTAAGTTACTATAGCCTTAAAAGAAGGAGACTTTTGAAGTTGAGGTCAGATCAGAATCGAGCAGCACAGATCGAATATATCTATCTGCACTAAGTTGGAAATTAAAGGTTGAATATCATTTATGACATATAATCCAAATAAACCTACTAAGTGGAGTGTATGCATGTATGGTTCAAAAACAGGTTTTTGAACCTGTTCAAAAACAGGTTTTTCTTCAATACTTCCCTACTATGGCAGCGTCACGTCCAAAAACATCATTTGACCTAATCTTTCAGTAAACACCAGAATTCCATTATGTTTATATAAGAAGTTGCTGGAAAACGTTCCCAATGCATCAGGATACCACGTGTTTACTGACAGATATTATACTAGTATTATCCTAGCAGAAGAGCTACTAAATATGAAATATCATCTTACTGGTACAAAGTCAACCAAAAGGGAATAAGAGCACAAATCAAAAAGCCAAATTAAAAAAAACAATAGCATATAGAAAAAATAATCTTGCGCTTCTCGCATGTAAGGACAAAAGGATCATTACAATTCTCAGCACTTGGAATCATGCAGGAATGAAATCTACCACAAGGACATTATATGTTGGAAACAAAATGTCAGTCAAAAAGTCTGAAATTGTTCTAGATTATATTGCAAATAAGAGTGGTGTGGATCATGCAAATCAGTATGCTTCTACATATTGTTTTTTGTGAAAATCTTTAAAATGGTAGAGGAAATTATTCTGGGGACTAGAAATATACTTTATTAACTTCTATATAGCTGGGTGCAGTGACTGGTATCTGTATCCTAGCACTTTGAAAGGTTGAAGTGGGCATAATGGCACGCATATGTAGTTTCAGCTACTTGGAAGACGAGGCAGAAGGATCACCTGAGCCCAGCAGGTCAAGACTGCAGTAGCTATGAACCTGCCAGTGCACTCCAGCCTTGGTGACAGACTCCAACTCAAAAAAAACAAAAACTTCTATATGCTGTATGAGCATCAAAAAGAATAAAAGAAAAATTCTGTGCCCCATTTGAGATTTGTCAAGCTTGTGATAGATCACTTGAGAAGTGGTTTACAGGAATCACAAGTAGAAAAACACCCGGTGGAAGATGTCAAACATGTATCAGTGAACCTGCAATGTGTGTCAGTTACTGTTTCACACATTACCACACTTTAGACAAAAGATACAAAGTTTTGATTTTTTGCCCTAAGTTTTTCAATGTCCAGAAGTTCAGTATAAGCCAAATATCATTATAATAAAATAATTAATTCCAAAGCTATACTATTTAATGTGAGGTGATTCATTTTTTACTATTTTGTAAAAACATGGTAAAGTTGCTGATAGATGATCCCTGAGATGTCTCTGAATACAAAGGGTTAATATAGTGGGGCCATCTCTCATTGAATTATGACCATAACATGGCCCTTTTTAAATGATAGCTGTTTACCTTTATTTGCAATACACAAACATGAGAAAACAATGTCCCTTAATTCAACAAATACTTATATTTATTAAGCCGTTGTGATATCTGTTAAGCAGAAACATCCAGTGGAGAAATATCCTCTGTCGAGTCAGAAGTTTTTGGTGCCAGCCCATCTCTTGGCACTTACCAGTTAAGTGGTTTGAGATCTAGTCTATCATTGAACTAATGTAACAATAACTACATAGAACTGCAGTGATGATTATTTAATTTCTATGAAATTCTGAATATTATAAATATAATTGTAATTATAAAGTATTTAGAGAATTTTGTGTTTATATATCTTAACAAAACTTACCTCTGTGTGGAGAGGATACTCTGAAAATGCATGTTGCAAAAATTCTGACTACTATCAAGTGTACCACTCTGATAGAACAGCAGTTTACATATGGCAAGATTGACTTGGGGTTTGGAACAAAGGTAGCAGATTCAGAATTATGGTAAGTATGTGAAATCGAATGGCAAAATGGTAAGGCAGTAAAAAAATCAAAAGGTGGTGATTCTCTTCACTTTTAGAAAATCGTTGTGTTCTATAAACTCATGGTATAGCAGAGTATTTACAAAACTATTTTCATAGTGAATTTTTAAAAAATTCATCCAACTCATAGGTCATGTGCTTCTGAAGAACAGTATTAACACCCTTTTCTTTCTTTTTTTTATTAAGTTTGCCTTGTTTTAATTTGTTGTAGTTACCTAAGGGTCCTGAACATTTCTTGTTGACATTTCCTTGTTGACAATGTCTCAGTAATTAATTTATTTGTGCATTTAATTTTACATTTTTAAATGAAAAGAATAAAAACAGTTTTATTACAAGGAGAACAGTCACTGCCAAAGGTTTCTTAGTAACAAAGACAACTCCTCTTCCTTAGCAAGAGTTATTGTTAAAGGTAGATTTTCATGGATAGTAATGAGACATTCTTTTATACCTCTCCCCCGTCATGAATTAAGTCTATGAAATCTTTATTGGAGACCTGCTAAATGCTAGGCACTACCGTTTGTTCTAATATGCTTAAATGTCATAATTGTCAGTAATCCTTAAGAGCAAGGATTATCTCTTTTTATATACTCCCTTTCAGGTACAAAGCTGAGAATATGGCTTACTATAATTCATTTACTATGTATTAGCTATTCCATATTGCCTAAGGTTAGTCTATATTGTTGGTATTACAGTGGCAAAACTAAGAATTAAATTTGTCATGTGCCAATACTACTACTTATTCAAAGCAAACAGTTGAAGCATGTTGGTATTTGAGAGTAGAAAAATGAACGTCTAAACTCAGATTGTTAATGCCAGTTTGTTCTCTTTGGATCTTGAGTTATAAGAATGTCTGTCTATGGTATTTTTAATTCTCAACAGAAATAATTCTTTATCTTTTTGAGTTTTGAAAATGAAAGTGTTGGTGTTTTTTCATTTTCTTTAGAATTATGGGCAGAAATAACTTTAAGAAATTTTTGAATCGTCTAATTTAAATATAATTCATTTTTAAAGCAAACTTGCTGCTGATGTAATTTTGAAAACTCTTGATTTGATGAACAAACTTAAACATTTGGTTCCTGGTATGGAAGTAAGCTTCTATAAAATCCTTCAGGTGAGTTTAAATTCTTCGAACATTGACATTTATTTATATGTAAGTGTTCCTAATATATGCATTTCTGCTTTAATGTTACTGATCTTTAGAAAATGTTTTTCTTAGAATCAGCTATTAGAAGAAAGTTTAAAGTTAATAATTGTCTTAGTAGTTATAATAGTGTCATTGCACATTTTTATTTACATAGGTTCACAGAAATTGAGGAAGGGTATTAAGGGGATAGGGGGACATCTGGAGGAAAGGGACTTGATTGTGAGTGATAAGATTAAAAGGAGTGTGTAGAAAAATGGCTACAAATTTGAATGATAGCAGCTGAATAAGAGCTCTAGATGTTACCAGAGGACAAAGTTATGACAAATTTAAAGATCTATTGACTTTTATTTGCTATTCTAGAATCCCACAACCCCATTCTATAAAATAGGATGAATTGTTCCCCTGAGCTAAGCAGAGGAGGGTGGCTTTAAAGACAGAAAAGGCTGAAAAAAGCAGAATGGAACCAAAAACAGACTGGTCATTTCAGAGTTACTTTCCTTATAGAGTTAAAACAGAAGAAACTTCCTCAATGACTCAGGTTGATAGAAATTTGTGGGTTGTTTTTTTTTTCAAACTGGCCATTTCAAGGTTCAGTTTGATGATAATGTGGCATTTAACCCGAGTGACTCCATTCTGATTTGGTCTGGTCTGCTGAATTTTAGTAGAGGAGAGTAATCTAAAAAAATGCTCACTCTCTTGGCTCCTCCATAAACTTTGTTTAACAATATCTACCTTGATATCTATAACATCTGGTTTATAACAGGCATTTAACAAAAAAATAAATGAATTATTTTTACTGACATGAAGAACTTAAAGGAAGTAAGTTTTATTCTTACTGTTTTATTGTTTTATTCTTTAAATTTTCTGATTTGAGTTCATTTGAATTTTACTTTTTATTTTATAGCTTCAATTAATTTGGAAGTGATTTTCTATTTTTAAGTTTTTCTTGAAAATGATAACTTGAAAAAATAAAGCAATAATTCTAAATATTAGGTGTAAGATGACATTTTAGGTCCATCAAATAGATAAGGCATAATTTTTATACTTTTCTTTTTTTTGAGTTAGAGTCTCTGTCACCCAGACTGGAGTGTAGTGGCACACTCACGGCCATCCCAGCGTCCACTTGCTATGCTCTGGCGATCCTTCCGCCTCAGCCTTCCAAGTAGCTGGAACTACAGGTGCACGCTATCACACCCAGCTAATTTTTTTATTTTTTTAATGTAGAGACGAGGTCTCGCCAAGTTGCCCCAGCTGGTCTGGAACCTGCAGGCTCAGGCAATCCTCTCACCTCGGCCTCCCAAAGTGCTAGAATTACAAGCTGAGCGACTGAGTCTAGCCAATTTTTATACTTTTATACTTAAAAAGCATCCAGAACCTTTGCCAATTTTTTTTTTAAACTAGTGTTCACATTAACTGCATGGTAGTATAAACACCTATAACAATGTAAAGACTAATAATATATTCAAACATCAGATAAACACTTTAGAATGTGCCTAGGGGGCTGGACATAGTGGCTCATGCATGTAATCCCAGCACTTTGGGAAGCTAAGGCAGGAGAATTCTTTGAACCCAAGAGTTTGAGACCAGCCTGAGACTCTATCTCTACAAAAAATACAAAATTACCCAGCTATGGGGGTACACACCTGTAGTCCCAGCTACTCGGGAAGCTGAGATGGGAGGATCACTTTAGCTGGGAGTACCAGGTTGCAGTGAGCTATAATCATGCTACTACACTTCAGCCTGAGTGACAGAATGTTCCCCTACCCCTACCTCCACCCCTCCCCCAGAAAAAGAGTTTGCCTAGAATCGTTTTTGATTTAGCTCTGTTTATTCATCTTACGCTAAAAGACTTGGTCTCGTTTATTCTTTCTGCCACTTATTTTCTGGTTTCTGATTTGTTTAGGATCCACATTTGATTACTCCTTTGGCTTTTGCTTTAACATCAGATAATAGAGAACAAGTTCAGTCTGGACTGGGAATATTACTGGAAGCTGCTCCACTGCCAGATTTTCCTGCTTTAGTGTGAGTTGTAATTCTTCACAGTATATCTCTTGTGGTATTGGAATACCCTGCCGTTTCTTTAATCCTCAGTAAAATAGATCTAATTGTCAGTATAATAATAGTAAATTCGTGAACTGAAGACTTCATTGTAATAGTCAGTAATTGTTCAAATGCTAAGAAAAAATTTAGTTTCTATGATTGAAAGTTCAGATGGATGCTTACTCAGGGATATGTCGGATCTAGGAGGTTAAATGTTATCCAAGTACTATCTCTCTTCGTTTCTTGCCACCTCTTAGTAATGGTAGCTTCTGGGTACTCAAAACTTACATCCTACCAGTTTAGTTCTTTCACAGAAAGAACTTTTCCTTCCAGGCTATTTTATTTAGTTCTGAGCATCAGTGTCATTCACCAGGTCTGAGTCAGCTGTGAGAACCAAATGGACTGAAAGTTGGGATAGAAAAGTAGGAGACTTCTTTAGGAAAAAATCTGCTTTTGTGAGAAAGTGGAATAAATGATGACTAGGCATAATTTTCCATTTAAACAATGAATATTTTCAATTCCATTTGAAAAAAAATCAGGTTTTCAGAGTTCTTTATAAACTCAATGGCTAACAATCTATTTATTGGGGGCCTACTTTAATCATTTTTAAAAAATTTAAGTGGCTTATGTATGTGGATTTGTAAAAGTGGTTCAAATAATTTGAAGGAGTTGATAAATAGGTGAGACATTCCCTATATGCCAGGGATCAGCAAACTGGCCAGTGGACAGGTGCCTGTTTTTGTCAGTAGCTTTATTGGAATAAGGTGATGTCTACTCATTTTTATATTATCTGTAATATCTGTGCTTCTTTCACTTTACAACAGCAGGGTTGAGAAACTACCACAGAAACTGTATATACCCTCAAGCCTAAAATAGCTACTATCTTGACCTGTAAGAAAAAGTTTGTTAACTCATGCTATTTACTGAGTTAGCAATCCTATTTTTCAGAATTAATAATTTAGGTAGTCATAAATTAAGAATTAAAGTATGGAATGGAAGACCTAGAGACCACATAACCAAAATTCCCTCCATTTTATAATAAATATTTTTTTAAAAAACAAGTAGGAACAACTTCCGGGGTCCCCTTCACTCTGGGAGCTTTTCTGTCCTCTCAATAAACCTTGCTTTCTCAAAAAAAAAAAAAAAAAAAAAAAAAAAAAGGAGGCTTCTCAAGTTATAAGATCGATGTAGTCTGTGAAGCTGCCCCATTTTTTTTGGTGGCTTGCTTGCTTCAACAGTGTTAACATGGCAGGAAGCCAACTTCACAGCTTTAGAGGAGAAAGCTAGAGCCTCACTAGTTGTGGGAGTCTCATCCTTTGCCTCTGGATGTGAGTCCTGGCCAACATTTTCACTGTATCTTGGCCCTCCCTGACTTTTTTGTGTTGTAGATAATTTTCACTTTGGGCTCTAAGGTGCCCCTTTATGCTCATTATTTAATACCCTTATTTGACATTCTCTTGGGCAGTTTAATAAGGTGAATTTATGATGGATGAATCAGTAGGTACGCAGGTTTTTGTGTGTGTGTTTGCTTGTTTTATTTTAACACTTAACAACGTGGTGAGGGCCAACTACGACTATGTGCCTATGCTTCTAGGTATTTTGGATATTATAGTAAATTAGACTAGGTGTCTGCTGTCATGAAGTTTGCACTCTATTAGGAGATAGGTTTTTAAAAATTTCATATTGTGCACATCACTATGGGTGGGAGGGATTAATATTGTATTATATAGGGTATTATTGAAGGCCTCTAAGGAGGTGAATTTGAACGAAGGCCTGATGTCAAGGAGCCTGCCTATGCAGATCTGGTAGGAAGAGTGTTGCAGGTAAAGGAACAGCTTATCCAAAGCCCTTGAGGCATGAGAATATAGGATTTTAGAGGGATAGAATGGAAGTCAGGCTGGTGAGAACAACATACTAAGTGCAAAAGCAAAAGGTCTAAGGGCACAAATAAAGCCCAGGTCAAGTCACCCATGATAAGAAGCTTGCTCTGGGCAGTACCAGTAACTCTGTGCTTAAAACAAATAGTCCATGTTCATAAACTAGTTTTACAATGCCTCCAAGCCAGACTCGAGTTGTCATTATAAAGAGTTGTAAGTAGAAAACTGAATCCTCCTGAACATTTAGTATGTTTCCCAAAACTTTGTTTCATCGTGGTCTCCAAGAAGATTATTTTAATATTTAAAGAGCTCTATTCCAAAAAAAAAAAAGTGACCCATTCTTAAAGATTCCCTAATTCTGTACTAACTCTGCCTTTTGTTCTTTTTTGTTTTTTAGATTAGAAAATACAGTTTATTTAGACAGTAAATTGGAGAGAGAGAAAAAGGGGTTTCTCCCCAAGGGAGAGGAGGGGCCAAAGCTTAAGAAAACATGACCTGGTCATAGCTTAGCAAGGCAATGGCCTAATTCTATTTTTAAATAATTATTTTTTTTTGATTCCCATTCAGGCTTGGAGAAAGTATAGCAGCAAACAATGCCTATAGACAAGAAACAGAACATACACCCAGAAGAATGCCTTTACAATCATTAAATCACAGTTTTCCCACATCAGTAAAGTGTCTAACTCCTCCCCTTTTGAAAGATAGCATTCCTGGATTAAACATTGAGGAATTAATAGAGAAACTTCAGTCTGGAGTGGTGGTAAGTGAAAAATAGCAATCTTAAATGGGATTGTACCTAGTACATACTAGCTTTATATCAGCCCTGATTATAACACTTATTGAAACAACTTTAGATACAGATTTCATCATTGAAAAAAACTTATCTTTTGGCTGGGCACAGTGACTCACACCTGTAATCCCAGCATTTGGAAGGCCAAGGTGGAGGAATTGCTTGAGACCAGGAATTCAAGACCAGCCTAGGCAACATAGTGAGATCTTGTCTCTACAAAAAAATTTAAAAATTAACTGGGCTTAGTGGCACTCATCTATAGTCATAGCTGCTTGGGAGCCTGAGGAGGAAGGATCACCTGACCCAGGTTGAGGCTATCGTGAGCCATGATTGTGTCACTGCAGTCCAGCCTGGGCAACAACAGAGTGAGACCTGACTCAAGAAAAAAAGACTTATATTTTAATGTAAAAAATAACAGTATTTTGGAAAGAAAGGAGGAAAAATTAGTCATAACATTTTAACACAGCTATCATTCTTTCCCTAGTCCCTCTTCCACTTATTTTTTTTTTTAGTTAGAGTCTCACTCTGTCACCAGACTGGAGTGCAGTGGCATGCTCCCGGCCACCGCAGCCTCCACCTGCTGGCTCTGGCGATCCTTCCGCCTCAGCCTTCCGAGTAGCGGGAACTACAGCTGCGCCCTACCACACCCGGCTGATTTTTTGATTTATTGTAGAGATGAGGTCTCGCCAAGTTGCCCAGGGGGGTCTCGAACCTGCGGGCTCAGGCAATTCACTCACCTCAGACTCCCAAGGCGCAGGATTACAGACTGAGCCACCGAGCCCGGCTAAGAAATATTTTTTAAGTTGTTGTGAGCACACTAAATTTTGCCCAGATATTCTTCTGCAATAGCCAGGTTAATGAAATATTTGTGGCTCACCTAATATAGGGCTCATTTTTTTTAATGATTTAGTTTCAAAGTAGGCATTTATTTGTGAAAGTATTTTGTTAAAATTTTCTGGTTTTTTTTTTCTATTAAAACCAAGGTAACGGATCAAATTAATGATGTGAGAATATCTGACATAATGGATGTATATGAGATGAAACTATCTACATTAGCTGTGAGTACAAACTTAACTGTGTGTAGTAAGCCTTAAAAGATGTTTTTTTCTGAAATGAAAATTAATGGCGTGTTTTCTTGTAGTCCAAAGAAAGCAGGCTACAAGATCTTTTGGAAGCAAAAGCTTTAGCCCTTGCACAGGCCGATAGACTGATTGCTCAGTATCGCTGTCAAAGAACTCAAGCCGAGACAGAGGTGTGTATAACATGATTAGTAGAAAAATTAATAGATGAAGTAAAACGTGCAAAATATTATCTGTTACTCTATTTGAAGTAAATTGTTCTTAGCATTTCAACATGCCTACTTATTTCATCTTAACGTTCTCTCTCTTTGAATTTTGATTATGCCATATCGTTTATGATCTACCTTTAAGTGTTAGGGGTTCCTAGGATCTTTCTCCCTTATTTATGTGTTGTATGGTTTCAACTATTACAAAATGTTAATGATCCCAATTTTATGTTAAGCACAGATCATTTTTGCTTGACCACTAAATGCATCCTATGTAGTAGCTCCATTTAAATATTCAGTAGGCCAGGCCTGATGGCTCACGACCATAATCACAGCACTTTGGAAGACTGAGGTGAGAAGATTCATCCTGGGCAACTTGGTGAGATCTCATCTCTACAGTAAATCAAAAAATTAGCTGGGCGTTGTAGCGTGTGCCTGTAGTTTCAGCTATTTGGATGGTTGAGGTGGAAGAATAATCTAAGCTCAGCAGGGCAAGGCTGTGGTGGCTATGAGCATGCCACTGCACTCCAGCTGGGCGACAGAATGAGACTCCAACTCAAAAAATTAAATAAATAAATAAACAGCAAATACTTCAAACTCAACATAACCAGTAATGAATTAATCACTCTTTCCTTTTTTAAAAGTTATTCTTGTGTATTCCCTCTACTGTTCCTAAGAGTTTTAACAAATAATAAGCCAGGAAATCACTGTGTACCTCATATAATTATTCACCAAGTCTAGTTGATTCTGCCTTCTAAATATTACTTTTTTCTGGCCCATCTCTATTTCTACCACTATTTGAAATAGATTCTTTTCATTTTTCATATGAATCACAGCAGAGCCTCTAATTACTCTTCCTACCTTTAGTCTCTTCTCAGCCATATGCTGCACTACAGCCAGAGGCATCTTTCCTTGGTGTTTGGTTCTATGCCTCCTATTCCATCCTCTCCCTCAGGGATCTCAAAGGTGGTAAACTGACTGTCTTTCTCCTGTGCTGAATTATCCTTCATAGTAGTTACCACTGCTTTCAGACTGTCATTAAAATGCCTTAGTTTGGCATATAAGGATTCTAACTACATACTTCTTGATCCATAGCTTACATTTCTGCTCATTCTTTGCCACTGCACTCCAGCTGGGCGACAGTCAACCATTTTAGGTTATTTGCTATTTCTGGAACTTAACATAATTTTGTGTTTCCTTGTCTTTGAACTTGCTATACTATGTCTGGAACACCTTCTTGTTTTCTGCCTAACTTGTTATAATCCTTCAGATTTCAGTTTAAATACCTCCATTTCTTAGAAGCCTACTCTGGTCTTCTCCTTCTTGCACATGTGTTTGGTGACCCTTCCTCTATTTATCTACCCTGTGTTTACCTCTTTATAACATTTCTTAAACCATGTAAAAATCCTGTTAATTCCACAACCCCACCCATGGTTCAGAGACTGTTTCTTTATGTCCAGCCCTAGCACAGTACTTGGCATATAGTAGATGCTCAGTAAGTTTGGCATTGTGCTATGTATACTTTATGGGTGAGAACTAACTTACTGTAGTAATATGAAATTCTCAGCAGATACAAGTGGAATCTACACAACTTGTCATTTGTAATGCATTATAATAAAGTGTGGCTTTTGAAAGAGGCATCAAAATCCGTGACAAGTATAATACCTTTTAAATCTTTTAGAATAAAGGCATTCTTTAAAAAAAAAAAAAAAACAGCAATAAATGCAACCATATATTTTTTTTTTCTTGTTTTATCATGGTTTCATTTGTCTTGACGGGTATGTTGATTCTGTCATAAATTCCAAGAAGGAAAATTAGTGATATTAAAATCATTTATTCCTTTCTCTTCTCATAGCATATTCTTATATTCTGTGTCTACTGGATGTGTCTTGCATTTTATTAGAAAATTCAAGGTTTCAGCTAGGTTACTGGAAAAGTTTCTCATATAAATAACACTAAATTGAGTATTACTTCTTTACATTCTATATCATAAAAACAGAGAAGGGCTTAGGTTTTTGCCTCGCATTTTAAAATAAGTAGTATTTTTAAGACTAAAGGGATGGAAGGAATCCACTTCTCATTCACTTTTCTCCTTTTTTCAGTGTTTCCTGTCACATAATAAATACATATGTGTTATAGTATAGGTTGTATTCCTTGATTATGATAGCTTAAGTGTATGATTAAGCATCTGTGATGTAATTAGGATTTTTATTTTTAACTCTTACCTGAAATGGGAGAGTTGATGTATACACTTAGTGGTTTAGTGGTAATAACTATCCCAAGGACCAGACCTTTTTAATTGAGCACTGTATGTAAGCTACCTTCGTGTTATCACATTTTTGTTTATTTCCATTAATCTCCATTAATTGGGTGATAATGAGATTGTTTTTTATCAGACAATCTATTAAATAAAAAACTATAAAATACCTGATTTATTAGAAGCAGTTAAGTAATAAATAGAACTAATACAACTTTGCATAACCCAATAGCTGCTGTTCTATTCGATATTTAGTAAATATTTTAAGTGGTAGAAACTTGAGCGCATTGCATAAATGATCGTGGAAAAGCCTGTGTGTGTGTGTGTGTGTGTATTTTTTAGGCACGGACACTTGCTGGTATGTTGAGAGAAGTTGAGAGAAAAAATGAAGAGCTTAGTGTGTTGCTGAAGTCACAGCAGGTTGAATCAGAAAGAGCCCAGAGTGATATTGAGCAGCTCTTTGAACATAATAGGAAGTTAGAGTCTGTGGCTGAAGAACATGAAATACTGACAAAATCCTACATGGACCTTCTTCAGAGGTAAATAAAGTAAAAGTTTCTGTATAAGGTTAGAACCTGGAATGAATACACAGCATTTCTTTTACCCCAAAATCCTTTTGTAAGCTTTTTATGTATTCTCATAACACACAAGGTTAAATAGGTAGCAAGAAACTTAAGTTGTAATGAAATAAAGCATTGGTTCCTCAAACTCAGTATCAAAACTGGAAACAAAATACTGGTCTCTTTACTTTTCTCTTTTTTTTTAAGAAGCAGAGTCTCAAACCTACTACCCAGGCTGGAGTGCAGTGATGCAATTGTAGCTCACTGCAGTCTTGAAGCCACTGCAGACTCAAGCTATCCTACCTCAACCTCCCAAAATGCTGAATAAGCCACTGCGCAGGCCCCTTTTCATTTCTTTATTTCAGTTTTAAAACTTCTGAATTACTAGGAAGATCAACAATTATGTATTATCTGCCAAGCAAAAATAAAAACCTCTGGGAAGTTTTTTATTGTTTTAACTTGTAGTTTGATATTGTTCTTTGCTGTTAATATAGAGATGTAGAAATTTTTAACTTTGATTTAACTTTGATTATTTGCCAATCAATAAAAATAAACGATGAAAGATGAATAGCATCTAGAAAATGTGTGTTGACAAGGTGCTTTGTAAACAGATTATTTTCTCCAACTTTTTACAAAGTTCAGTTGTTTGAGGCACTACTGATACAGTTGGTGATAAGTCAAGTTGAGAAATTAGCCAGTGAATGTAAAGAACACAGGAGAATATAGGTAGTGATCCAAGAGAAATAATGGTTTCTAATATCTGCCTAACTCAGATAGTGATTGAGCAGCCAGAAGGTAAAACTCCTAGAATGGCCAGATAGTTCACAAATAAATGAAACTGGCTGGTGGGCCATTTCTGACCATTTGTAATGGACAGAACTATGCAAAGGCATTAAAATTAGATTGTTAAAAATTCTGTGTGGGATGGATAAAGACCTGCTGGCCAGATTTGGCTTTTGTTTTTTTGTTTTTTTAGTCTTTGTACTTAGTGAAATAAGATATTTTATGCACAAGATAGTGGGGTATTAGAATAATCGCTTTTAAATTTTTTTCTGTATTTACTTAGGTAAAGTAAGAGGGACTATTAGATGCAAAATTTTAAAGAGGCAGATAAATTTAAAATACTAAACATTTTCAGAGATAGCTGTTTGTATTTATAGCAAATTATGTAATGCAATGTCATCTGTAAGTGAAGCTATATAGCCATAAATATTCAGTTCATGTCCCACGCATTTCTATTTCAGAGTAACTTTTACTACATCAGTCAACCAAAACATATCTTTACTACCTTTTAGAGTTGATCCAATTTGTTTATGTCTTGCTTGTTCATAATATTCTTTTCAGTATATACAGTTCTGTTAGGAGAAATAGTAAAGAAAACACTGTGAATTTATTTTCTCCATTTTATGTTTTCCTCCAGAAAGATACCAAGTCATTTCCTTGTCTTTTCAGAAATGAAACTACTGAAAAGAAGAATAAGGATTTACAGATCACGTGTGATTCTCTGAATAAACAAATTGACACAGTGAAAAAGTTGAATGAGTCACTCAAGCAACAAAATGAAAAGTAAAATCTCTAGTTCTATATTCTAAATATTCAGGATTTTTCAAAAATAAGAAATGTTCTATACAGAACATTGTTTTTATGATGAAATTAATGGAACTATCACTTATTTTAGATACAGAGTATATATTTGGCAGAATTTACAAGTAATGACTATTCTAAAAAAATTTTCTTTTGAAATACTTGTTGGGAAAAAAAGTCACAAATGATATGGTGCATTGATGTTTTCCTCTGTTTTTTTATAACTTTAGAACTCTTGCCCAATTAATAGAGAAAGAAGAACAGAGAAAAGAAGTACAGAACCAACTAGCAGAAAGAGAATATAAGCTGGCAAGTAAGTGACTTCTTATTTATTACATTGTGGGGATTTTTTGTGTGATTGAGTTGGGGTCTTACTCTGTCGCCCATGCTGGAGTGCAGTGGCATAATCACGATGATCATGACTCACAGCAGCCTTGACATCAACTCCTGGGCTTAGGCAATCCTTCTACCTCAGCATCCCCAGTAGCTGGCACAACCATACCTGGCTGGTTTTTTTGTTTTGGTTTTGTTTTTCATTTTTTTTTTGTAGAGATGAGGTTTTACTATGTTGCCCAGGCTGGTCTCAAACTCCTGGGCTCAAGCAATCTGCCCACCTCGGCCTCCCAAAGTGCTGACATTACAGGCATGAGCCACTGCGCTTGACCTACATTTTGTATTTTTAATATATTTGTGTTGGAAGAAGATCAAAGCCTGAATGGTTTATTTTGCTTTTTTATTTATTTTCTTATTCCCCTTATTGTTTTAAACCTTAAATTGCATTTGAAAAGCTTGCCTTTCTTCCCATAATATTTCACAACAGCAGTTTAGCTTGACTGACCAAATTAAAAGAAGAATACAATTTTTTGAAATCTAGGGCCTATAAGAAATGATGGCCCTTTTTAAAAATTAAAAATAAAAATAAAAGAATATAACAGCAGGTGGCAGTGCTAGGTAACTTTTGGTTACTTGCTTCTTAATGGTATATCTGTGAAATGACCCATAAAATCATTTTTGTTCTAACTCACTTGCCTTAGAGCACAGACACTACCTATATAATTTTTCATAGTTGTACCTCTCTTTTTCTAACCCTTAAGCTCTAAGGGTTATCCCTCACCTATAAAGCATATTATATTTAGAACAGAGAATGGGAAAGACATGGAGATTTGGTATTTTCTAGGGAATATTGTCATAATTGAAGAGTTTCATGATGTTTTTAATTCTGCAAGTGCTGCAAAACATATTTTCATCAATATATTTCATATTCTTAATTGTCTTTATTTTATAATAGCTACTGAGCTTTTTCAGGATATTCAGTGTAAGACCTCTGAGTATATAGCTGACTGTATGTTTGTTTTGTAAGATTTGCATCAAAAAACTAAAGTACAAGAAGAAAAGATTAAAGCCTTACAAAAGGAAAGGGAAGATAAGGAAGAAGCCATTGATGTCCTTAGAAAAGAATTAAGCAGAACAGAACAGATAAGAAAAGAGTTGAGTATTAAGGTAAGAATGTTTCAGTTATCATTAGCACTAGAATGAAAAAGTCTGTTGTGTGAAAGGTGAATTTAGGTAAACTAATGTTCTGTTTCTTTAGTAACATTGTTTAAAAGGCATTATATTTCAAAGCAGTTTGACTATCATTTGTACACCTGTAGTTCCTCAAATCATTAAACATTTACTAAGTGTATACTTTGTGTCAGCACTTACTGCTTTCAACTGTGGCCAAGAATACAGAAAGGTTCACCTACAGGTAGCTTGAAATAGTTATATAGTTGTATCTTTGCTTATAAGGGTAGAACTGATAGTAATAATGATAGTTCATATTTGTTTAGAACTTTATAAGAACTCTGAAACATTTCTTAATTTTCACTTTAACTAGTATGTAATAATATAAGTACTAATACATATTTGCAACTTAAAACTGAAGAAACTCAGTCTGAGGTTACTTGGTAAGGTCACACAGCTAATACATGGAACAATAGACATATATTTCTAATCTGTCTATTTTTCTTTCTACATTATGGTTGCATAGTTTGAGTGATAGTAATGAATTGTGCTTTCTGGTCCGTTCACTACCAGTAAGAATTAAGACTGTTTGAACCACATGAAGCATGAGTAGCAGAAGAGACATAAAATTTAATGCCAAATTTATAATTTTTTCTGGTTCTGCTTGAATGTGATTAACTTATTAATAATTTTAAATACCAGTGATGTAGTATTTTTCTGCAAAATTTTTGCTGCTAGCATTGACCAAATGAAGTTGAAAGTGCCTTCCAACATTAATAAATTATTACTTAAACTTACCACATGATTTAATTAATTAAAATAGAATACATATTTGTAATGAGGATTGAAATGGTTGTTGTACAGATAAAAAGTAAAAGCATTTTAAAATATCTGTAAAGAAAAAACATGAATGTTATTTTTCTTCTCAATTTCTTCTCCTCTCCACCCACCCATTCCTTAGGCTTCCTCCCTAGAGGTTCAAAAGGCACAATTAGAAGGTCGTTTGGAAGACAAAGAGTCCTTGGTGAAACTTCAGCAAGAAGAGTTGAACAAACACTCTCACATGATAGCAATGATCCACAGTTTAAGTGGTGGAAAAATAAATCCAGAAACTGTGAATCTCAGTATATAAACATTATGACATTTTGGAATATGTAATATAATGATATTTTTGATGTATTTATTGGAGGGGATGGGTAGGGGAGGTGAAGTATGACTCCCCAAACAATAGGAAATTATTATCTAGTTATTAATTAAGTAAAGAACCTGATCTGATGCATGCTTTTATTTGGTCTTTTGAATAGAATTGTTTTCATTTTATTTTACTTTGTTGCTGGCTTTTATTACTTAAAGTTTTGGGGGGGCTTCTTACATTATCATATTCCTTTAACCTTCGTTATCATTTTTCTAAGGTTCTTTCCTTTTTTAGTTGCATCTCTAATTTGTTCTTATTTATTATTATTTAGGTCTTAGAGTCAAACTTTCTTGATATAACAGTCCTAAAGATTATACATTAAGCACAAGTATTAGTAAAAAGAGAAGTTATGATGCTGCTGGAGAAGTTTTTTTATCTAAAGAAGCACAAAAGAAAATATTAGTTTAAGATGATTTTTTTACTACATTTAAAATGCAGTAAAATATACAGCATAAATTCTACATTTGAAGAAAATGAAGTGAATAGTTACCAGAAATGTATAAAAATTAGAAAATAGCTGTCATGTTAAATGGTTACATACATTGTCTCATAAAAAAACTAATAGCTTATAGAATTATTTGTGAGATATATTTGTTTTTTCTCTTCTTTAAAATGTGTTGTTGGTCTATCCATATCACTTCTAATCAATTATGAATTTATTACTTACATAAGGATAACATGAATTCTACTCTTGCTATTATTTAGAAAATTATTATTTACTGCTAATTTGGATATGAATTGCATTTAATGTATTGTCATACAGTTAAATAGCTTTTGCTTGGACCATTCAGTTTTAAAAGTGTAGGTTCAATATCCTTGTTTATGTTATTTCTTGAATACAAGGGAATTTTTAGTACTTTTCATTTGAATCAAATATTCTAAATAGTGTAAGAAAAGTTTTTATATCAATATTTTGATTGATGTGATTGCTATATTGTTAAAACCATTAATTTCACTTGGTGTTTTCCTTATTATATCTCTATTTGATTTAAGTGAATTTAGATTTACTTCTATTTTTAACCATGGTGTATCTAAATTTACGCTTAGAAATTAAACATTTTTTATATTTTACTAATTACATTAAATCATATCAAGCTGTACTAGTTGTATATATTATATATTTGGATATATTTCTACAGTTCTGAAATTTCTTTTTAACATTGTGCAGAGTAAAATGTTTTAAATTACTACTTGTTCTATAGAGGAGGGACATTCTTTTTAAATTGCATATATTTTCCATTTGATATGGAAAAGTATAAATGGATACATATAACTAAAGAGTGAAAGGTTATGTAAAAGAAAATGAATAAAAAGTTAAAGAAATGAATGAATAAGCCAAAAACTATAGTGAAAATCAAACTATCTTTACAATGTAGATATTTCAAGGCATTGATCATAGGTCAGTGCTGCTCTGTAGAATTTTCTGTGATGATGGCAATGTTCTGTGGTGCCTAATAACATGCTTATTACCATATCATACTTGTAGCTGTTGAGCACTTGAAATGCGGTCTGTGCAACTGAAGAATTAAATTTTTGATTTTATATATTAAAATTTTAGTAGACATCTTACTAGACAATGTAGATCTAGCCTTTTCTTGCAAAAGTGCGTTTATTTAAACAACTCGATTTGCCTCTTCTTAACAATCTGTATTAGTAGATACTCCATACTCCATATTTGTTTTTAGCAGCCTTTTTAAAATATAATTTTAACTTTATTTCTAATCTGTTCTGTCTGAAGAGGAAAAACTATACATCAGCCTTGAAGGTAAGTACTGATCATCTTTCATCACTTTGTCTCTTGTAGCACCTTTCATATTGTTTCTGGGTTTTGTTGTTGTTGTTATTGTTGTTTTTAATACCTGTAGTTTATTGGGCACTTTTTTGTTTCCTTTTTGGTCTGTGTACCTCAGATTAAAAAACAGAAAATGTACATGTGTAAACACTTTTTTCTAAAAAAAATTATCTTTGTCAAATTTGTACCACTACCACAGTTAGGATTTTACAAATGATTTGTATGTGTCTATGCATGCCCATTTCTTAACAAAGAAGATAAAACTTAGAAAATGCATCATTGTATTGGGATTGCTAAAATCCTCTTAAAATTTTGCTAGGGAGAGATTGTCTCCAAAGTATATATTACCACGATTCCTTTTACTGTTAATCCTAGCCACCTGAATAAATAGACATTTCTCTTAAAAAGTGGTTAATTGGAATTTATACTAAACTGTTAATTTAATATCAGGGCAAAAATACTTAAAACTGCTGTATCTTAGGAAATTATCAGGCTAGTACACTTTTGGGTATATTTCATTTTATGTCAAAGAGACTAGTTATTTACTTTAAATTTGTAAAGAGATTATGTCTTGAGTTAGGACTGTCAGTTAAGTGAAAATGTGTTTGAATATCAACCTCTTCTACCTGAAGCTAATTTATATGTTACAGATACTTTTCAAGTTATATTTCTTCAAACTCATAGCCCTGTTGTTATTTGATTTTTATTCTTTTTCTCCTTTCTGATAGTTATGGATTATATTTACAACTTTGCTTCTGATACACGTACTGTTGTGCGGCACATCTGTTTGTGATTTAATTCCTTTGCAGGAGTTGGCAAACACTGTGTAAAGGGCCAGATAGAACATAACATTTACCTTTGTGAAACATACAGACTCTGTCACAATTACATTACTGAGCTCTGCAATTGTAACACAAAAGTAGCCATAGGCAATACATAAATAAATGGTCATGGCTGGGTTCCACTAAAACTGGATTAACAAAAACAGTCAAAACTTAATGTGTATATCTACACATTAAGAAATGTGTTTCCTAGCCGGGCTCGGTGGCTCAGCCTGTAATCCCGCGCCTTTGGGAGGCTGAGGTGAGTGGATTGCCTGAGCCTGCGGGTTCGAGACCCGCCTGGGCAGCGAGACCTCATCTCTACAATAAATCAAAAACTCGGCCAGGCGTGATAGCGCATGCCTGTAATTCTGGCTACTCGGAAGGTGGAGGCGGAAGGATCGCCGGAGCCCAGCAGGTGAGGCTGCGGTGGCCGGAAGCGGCCACTGCACTCCAGTCTGGGCGACAGAGTGAGACTCCAACTCAAAAAAAAAAAAAAAAAAGAAATGTGTTTCTTGAATTAGCCAAGCAGAAGAAAGAATCTCAGAGCTCGAAGACTAAAACACAGAACTAACCCAAACTGTCAAGAGCATAGAAAAGAAGCTCAAATAGACAGAACAAAACCTACAGGAGATGAATGGTCACTTCAAGAGACCGAACCTAAGAGTAATTGGGCTTCCTGAGGCAGAGAGAGAAACAGAGGCTACACTGGAACAAACATTTCATGAAACAATTCAACAAAACTTCCCTCATCTCATCAAGGATGAAAAAATTCAAACACAAGAGATTCAGAGAACCCCTGCAAGACAAGAAATGAGAAGACCAACTCCCAGACACATAATAATTTGCCTAAAGAAAATCGCTATAAAAGAAAAAATCCTAAAGGCAGCAAGAGAAAAACGCCAGACTACTTACCAGGGAAGACCAATTAGAATAGCAGCAGATTTATCCACAGAAACCCTTCAGGCTAGGAGAGCCTGGAGCCCTATCTTCAAAGTTCTAAAAGATAAACAATTTCAACCAAGAATAACCTACCCAGCCAAACTAAGCTTCATTAATGAGGGAGAATTGAAATCTTTTTCTGATATCCAATCCCTAAGAACCTACGCTGCCACCAGACCACCTCTACAAGAAACACTTAAGAAAGTACTGAACACGGAAGAAAAGAAAAAAGAACAACAGGATTCTTCACAAGAGTACAGGCAAAGATTAAAAACACACATGAACCAATTCCAAAACCCAAAGAAAGACAACAAACAAACAGGAACAACAACTCTGTAAGAATCTTATGACAGGGATCAACTCTTGTATTTCAATTATTAGCCTAAATGTGAATGGACTAAATACACCAGTGAAAAGACATAGAATGGCAAAATGGATAAAATATCACCAGGCAACAATCTATTGCCTTCAAGAGACTCACCTCACTAGAAAGGACACTCACAGACTCAAAGTAAGAGGATGGGAAACAAACTTTCAGGCGAATGGAATATAAAAGAAAGGAGGAGTAGTGATCTTAATTTCAGACAAAATACCCTTCAAGCTATTAAAAATCAAAAAAGATACAGAAGGCCACTAAAAGGTTCAATCCATCAACAAGAAATATCTATACTAAACATATATACCCCCAACATAGGTGCGCCAACTTTCATAAAGCAACTTCTAGGAAAACTATAGAAAGATATTGGCTCTTAACACCATTATAACTGGAGACTTTAATACCCCACTTACAACCCTAGACAGATCATCAGGACAAAAAATCAGCAAGG